GAAATAATGTAGTAAGGGAAGGTGAGTAGAATTTTATTATACATCATGAAAACATGAGGTAGGAGTTTTTTTTCTTCATATTTTTTATATGTAAATTTTGATTAAAAGGAAAAAGGAATAATGAGATATATAAAATGATGTTAGGTAAGCTTAATTGATATATTTATATTATATTATATAAAGCATTAAGTTGATATATATGTATATATTATATAACATTAAGGATCGTTTACCTTTTTTTTGTTAAAGTTGAATAGGAATAAAGGCACAATAAGAGAATTATTGGATCAGATTTTTTTTATTTTGTAATTGAGAAAGAAAATGTGATTTATCATAGAGGAGTGTTGAGATTTGAAAGGGAATAGTTGTTTTATAATTAAGTTTTAGTAAACTAAAAATGTTGTATATGAAAAGTATTATTATTGGTAATAAGTTTTTAAGAAAATAAATGTTTCTTTTATTAATTTTTATGTGGGTGCCCTTGATTATTTATTATAAGTTTGTTTAAAAAAAAATGATGTGTATATATTTACATTGTAATATAATACCTAAATTTCTTAATATAATGATAGGATTTTTAAGATAAGATCCATATTTTTTTGATTTACCCCGTTGACTTATAGAAGACGAAAGCAGAAAAAGGATTATGTAAATATTGCGGAGCAAAAGAATATCAAGTGGTGCGCTGAAAACAACTAATAAGGTGAGAGTATGCCCAGGAGTAATTTATCAGTCAACAGCAGGGGCAGCAGTTCGGTCGTTTGTAAGGGGGGAGATGTCATAATTGGTGTTTTTTTATTATTATATTGGTATAAATTTTGTATGTACATTCATTATATTTATTTATTTTTTATCACGCGTATTAATCTGGTTTGTTAACATAGGGGCTCGGGATTATAAGACTCATAAGTCATGTTATTTGTATTTTTGTAAGTAATTATAAATTATTTATCAAATTATAAGCTATAAAAAGGCCGTTTTTCGGCAGAATATGTTACTTTTTACTTTTTTTAAATATATTTTGAATTTAATGAAGTTAATAAAATTATTTTTGTCTCGGATTTACTCTCAACGGTATAACTGCAATAGAATACATTCTATAGAGCCAGCCATTATTTAAAAAACAATTTATTCAAAATATTATGATACCGCCCACATATATATTTCAATCTCAAACTAGGATCAACGAATACCATTACTTTTATATTTTAGATTATAATGTACCTTAAGAATATATTGTCGATGTAAAAGCAATTTCTTTTAGTTTATTATTTGTAAGTTAGCCCTTAATTTCTTTTATTACCACTTAATTTTACCCGCTCATTCTCCTATTCTTTCATAATTATTTAATTTTTTTATATCCCATCTTAAATTTAAATTTTCAATTAAATTATAATCTTTTATCATTGGGATATATTAGATTTAACCTTCCCAAAAATTATGCCTTCAACCTCAATATGACAGAAGAATCAACATCTCTTGCTTACTAATGAAGGTTTAAAAGGTTATCTGTGGACTGTGATTAGAATTACTATTTTCCTGAGAGGGGGGTGTATAAGCCTTGAGCATAATTTAAAAAGCGGTCCTTAAATTTATAATAATCAAAACCAAATATAGGTATTGTAAAGTTTTAGGCACAACCTAAATTTCCTCCTCCATTTATTACAATAAGAAGAATGGTAAATCCAATGGAACAACAATCCTTTAAATCGAGGCCTATGATAACCAAAGAACTGACACTATGTAGAGAAACCAATATAGTAGCCATAGGTTAAGAGTTGTGATTTAGAGTGGAGTGAGTATAACGGGAAGAGCGCGTCATTGATGGACGCATTGCAAAGAAAGCTCATTCATTAAAGCAAGATAAAGATGGAAAGATAATAAATGGCAAAACAAATTAACAGGGGCTTCTTTAGCTATCTGCTTTGAGTGTTAAAGTGTTGAAAAATATTAGGGCTTATTATAAATAAATAATATTTTCTGTTGTATTAAAATAATTTTATTATTGTAATTTCCTCTCTTTCGTCTCAAGCAAAAACATATTAAAATAATTAATCTATTTTTATTGTATAAATTATTATATTATTAATTGATACTACAAATCAAAATAAATCATTCCCTAACCATAATGAGTTGGTTATTTAAATTCAATTTACATCCATTTTGTGTTGATTTTTGAGTATACATTACTAATTTTCCAATTAATTTAATTTCCATTTTTGAATCAGTTTCCTTATAGGATAAAATTACAAAATCAAACAACTTGGTAAAAATTATAATTCTAAGATTTTTAATATAAAAATCTGAAAATAAAAAAATCTTTTAGAATGAGGCTATTTATTAATATTTTATTGTTATAAAGATAGAGCACTTGAGCAGGATTCTCAATTTGTATTAAATATAATCTCTAAATACATGTATAATAATTAATTGTAGTAGAAGATAAAAAATTAATGAAGATCAATCTGGCCGAAGACCTACTACCAAATAAGGGTATTGGGGGAGGGGGGGGGGGCTCACCACTCATAAGAAATACATAAATAGAGTTTAAAAAAATTATGAAAACATTTAAAATAAACGCCACTGCAAATGGAATAAGTTTTTTTTTCAAGAAAAGAATGATGGCAAAGTTGCATTGGTTATGTTTGTAGATTACTGAGTAATATCTTTAGTAGAAAATTATTTAATATTTTCTACATATGCTCTCCAAGGAGTAACGACTAAGAGAAAAATACAATATAGAATATTCTATTGGAGGAGACATCAGGACTACCTAGTGAAGAAGGGAATATTCTAGCTGGGAATCTGAACTAACACTTGGGAAGGAATAGTGATGAGTATGAAGGCATTTATAGGAAATTTAGATTCGATATAGGAAATCCTGAAGGAGAGAGAATTCAAAATTTTGGTGATAATAAATGTTATAATCGTGACTTTTGCTAACGTGGATAATGTGATGATATATCTTTTCACATTCGCATAATATTTTGTTTTAGATTTAGTTTATTATTTAGTCATCGGCTAGATTCATTGTGAGTCGTTCTTTCGTGTGTATTAGATTTTTATTTTTATGTATATTTTATTTTTATTTTTTTGTTTATACTTAGATTTACATCGTTTGTGATTTTGTTGATATTATCAGGTATAAAAGGCCAAATATTTGTAATAATTCATTAAAGCTGAGATTTAAAAATGAAATATATAACAGAGTTTTTATTAGAACAGTAATATTATAGACCCAGAAAATAAACTTGTTTTGGCAAACCTTTAAAATAAGTTTAAAAGGTTTTATTGGCCTAAAAAAAATTTGACACTCAATTTTTTTTATAATATTTCTCTTAATACTCATGTCAAAATATTATAATATTAACATTTTAAACGGGTTGATCTAACAGGAATTAAGAAATCATTTCTCGATATTAATATTTAAAATAACTGATTACCTTACAATAAATTAGACTATAAAATGGAGAGCCACTTTGATCAAATTCAATTAGAATGAAAATAATATTTAGAATATCATTAAATATCTGCATGTAGTATTTAATTAATAGAATTAAAAGCAATAATTCTTAGAATTTTAAAAGCCTTAGGAAAGGGAGAAATAAATATGATCTAAATAATTAATGCTTTCTATTATTATTAACATTGGCTATCATATAAATAAATAATAGCAATCTTTTAATCTAAATAGTATTCAATTAAAATAGGGCCCTTAATTTTTTTGAAGCGAGAAATAAATATTATAGGCAGTTATATTAATCACAATAATTTTAAGCCCAATACGTATTTTTAAAAATAAATGGAAATGGTTGTAAGAAATAAGGTAGATAAAGCAGAATAAAGAAAGAGAGGGGCTTTATGAAAAAATTTATAGGTAATGTGTGTGGGAGCACAAATAATAGTCTGAGTGAAGGATGGAGATTGCCAATGCGTTGAAGTAAATAAAATTTCACAAAAGATACGTTCTGACCCCAGTTTCCATTTTTACAAGCAATTGGTAGGAGCTAGAGAGATGTGAGTTAGCTTTCCATGGGAACTCTTATATACTTTTGAATTTATATTTATGGAAAAATTAAAAGAAATGAGGAATAAAATCATTGGAAGACTATTGATTAAAAGCACTGAAAAATGAATGTAAAAGGGCAAAATGTTTATAGATGGAAATCAGGCATAGGTGTCTGCAAATGAACTGGGTTTGCACATCCGCCCTTACTATAATCCGACGTGGGAGGGTGCCTTAAAAAATATAAACATTGGCCGGGTGGGTAGATAGATCAAAAATATTTAAACAATAAGGGCTATTGAGAAATATTTCAACCCTAACCGCGTTATTATTAAGTTCTAACTTTCAAAATTTTGTAAAAAATCATGAAATTATATTATTAATCTAATAAATTTCTTCAGACATACCTTACTTTATCATTGTTATGATTCATTATATTAAAAGTAGGTATATTTCTATATTTTTTGCTTTATATAACAAAAAACAGAATTATACTTTGAATAATCTAATAAATATATGATGAAAAGTTAAGCCATTAATAAAATAAGAAACTTGGCTAAGTTGAAACATTTGAATAATAAAATAATTCCTTGTAAGCCAAAATTTTAAGATTAAAACAAGTACTTATCTGAATATTAAAAGAACGTTTGAAAGAAATAAAACGTTTAGATTAAGAATAAAATAATTTAAGATATTCAGCAGTCGGAGGAATGATTAAATATATTTGTTATTCATTTTTTAAATTGCATTAATATTCTACAAAAATCTGTGTCAGCTGTTAACGCCATTTATGCTCTTAACTTTTATAATTTTACTAATCCTATTCAATAAGATAAAAACTAAATTTAGTCATTTAATTTATTATTTTATTTTATTTCATTTATTTATTATTTTTTAAAATCTGATTATTTTATTATATCTATCAAATGATTTATTCGCGTCAATTCTTTAGATTATATGAATTTACACCAAAATCCACTCAACCAAAAAAAAAACTATGCATTTAATAAAAATCGTATTTTACTATTATTATATCTATGAATTATCAAGATATTAAAACATCTTCTTATCGATTCCTATTTGAGCCATATTTTAAAAATAATCAATTATCTTCTCTCTTTCATATAAAATCCAAATTAGATTCTCCTCTTAAATATATAACCAGAAAAGGTAGCAGAATTTTTTTAGCCATAAATCAAGCTAGATCTCAAAATTCAAAAAGAAAAAAGTTTGAAAGAAACAAAAGAAAAAGACGACTAAAAAAAAATATACACAATAATAAAAGTCTATCTACAAATAACTTAGAAAATAAAAACACTGTTTTGACAAATAAAAATCATTTTGATAAAAGGTTTATTAAACGTTTTCTCTCATTAAATAATTTTTTGCCTCCAAATGAAAACCTAAAATTGGTGTCAGGTATCTTTAATTGCCTATATTCTGAGGATTCAAAAATAATTAATGATCAATATAGTAATTATACACACAACTATATGAATGCCTTTAAATTTTATTCTGTTAAGTACTTGGCAGGATATTTTAAAATAAATATGGATCAAATATATTCAAGTAACTATTTAAATTCGAATAAAATAATGGATAACCATTACATTTTTGAAAACAATGCAGGACTAATATGTGTAACCCCTCATGATATTCTTTATTTATTTTTATATGATTCTAATTTACGTCCACTTAAATCTATGAGGTTACAAAAATGCTTTATAGAACTCAACAAAGAAAAAATATATTATGAAATGCTAAAATTAATATCATTTTCTATACCTCAAGAAGAAACTATAACACATTTGCTCAAATCACCTAATAAGTTAAAACTAAAAAAATTCATATATCCTAACCATACTATTTCAAAAATTAAGTCCTTTAAAAATGATGATAAAACATTTTTAAACCATATGCCAAATTCAATATTTTCTCATGATGGTTTTGCTGAAATTGATAGGAAATATATCTATCTCTTTAGATGGCCTCTCATCTCACTAAAACAATATGGTAGTGATGAAGGTTTGTTTGGTTTTGAGTGTGGAAGACAAGGTTCAACTGGTCCTGGAAATTTTAAATTTATGTAAGTTTTTTTTATAAATCATATTTTAATAAATATAATTTATATAAATAAGTAAAATTGATATTTAGTATTTTATTTGTTTTATATAGCAGAATTTATTTAAAATTAAAACTAATGTGAATCCATTTGGTTAATTTTAATATAATTTATTGTATAAAAAAATTGTATTTATAATAATGAAATGAAATTTCCTTAATTAATTTAATAATTATTGACTACAGTAAAAATAACCCTCAACATTATGTTATTCAGCCAATTTTGATAATTCATCAATAAATCTCATATAAACCTATAAAATAAAAGGCTGTGCTGATATTAAATATTAGATTGAATCGAGGCCAATATTCAGCTTTTTTGAAAAAGTTCAATTGGACTAATATTTTCAAAAAATCTTATTTGATTCTATATTTTTATTGTTCTTCATTACTTTTTAAGTTGTATATATTATTATATATCATTTTTTATTTTATACATAATATAATAATAATAAATTAATAAAAGGAGCCAAAATTCAATTTATTTGTCATTTAAAAAAAATCTAATTGTTATAAAAGATAGAGCAGCTAAATGATGTTATTTTTTTATTATATTATCTGCAAATGAGTCACATTCAGCTAGTATTGTTAAATGGTTCAAATCCAATTTTTAAAAATGACTTATTCATGATTTGAGCCCAAAGTAAAAACTAGTGTATTTTTCCCACAAATCGACAACTTTTTGAATCTTAAGTTTAATTATGATTTGCCTATGCTTGTTTTTAAAAATCAGCTAAACTAAACCATTTAACAACACTATTCAGCCATAGACATTGTGCATATTAAAACCATATTAACTTTTTGAGAATAAAAAAAATAATATAGCTAATCATTCACAAATGTTGCATGCCTACTCTAACATTTTTATGCCTCCCAGAATGCACTGTCTTTACAATTTCTAATATTAAAATATTATGTTAATAAATAATAATAAAATTTTATAAGCAAATTGTTATATTATATTTTTATTATAACACATATCAACTTGGTTGTATTTCTATTCCACTTACGCAAAATATGTTTAAAAAACTAGCTTTAAATTTCTTATTAGCTATAAGTAGGTAATATTATTAGAGATGTAACGATATTTTTTATCTGATCGGGCCGATATTTCACCCATTTTAAAATATAGATTATCCCTATTATAAAATTTTCCGATCCTATCTAGTATAAAATGACGTCATTAACAAAAATAAAATGTTATAAATTTTAAAAAATAAATTGAATATAATATATAACTGATCAATATAATATATTTAAATGACATAATTTATGGTATAGTTAAATTATACATGTTATATTAATAAAAATAATATTAAAAATTAAAACCATTGGTATCTTTACAGAATACAAAATTAGATATGATATCGGATCAGTAATCGGCCGATATCAATTAAATATCGGGAATATCTCGGATCGGATCGGTCTCCAAAGTGGTATCGGTACACCCCTAAATATTATATTATATATTTTTTTTTAATTACATTCTTGTTTATTTCATAATTTATCTGGGTGTTGGAGACGCCTGATTTCAAAAGTTATACATTGTTATTAAAATATATAACAACAAAATTGCACATCAACTGAATTTATTTTAAAACATCTTAAATTCTAGAAAATGATGATATTCAATTTTGTAAATGTAGAGAATTAATTTCGAATCCAAATCATTTACAAGTAAACATTCATTGACAAACACATATTATGATTCTACTCAAAATGAATTGGGACCATATTCTTATTGGAAAAAGTTACCCACAGGGGTAGTGTTAAGCGGCTCGTTTTGAACCGATTTTTAAAAACGCTAATTATTTTATCCAGAAAAATATTACGTAAGTCTGGAGATTCTGCTCATAGAAGGAATAAAGGTCTAGAAATATATTATCGAAATCTCGAGGCTTGGGTAATATTTTTCTGGCTAAATATTGAGTTAGCCTTTTATAAAAATCGGCTCAAAACGAGCCGTTTAACAACACTACACAGGGAACATAGATATATTCAAAATTTTTGGAAAGTGAAGAAGATTCTAAAATCATAATCTTTTTATTTTATTTAATTGTGAACCTGAATTCGAATAATGTTTTAATCTCCATAAAAAAAATTAAAATTTTATTGTGATATGTGCCAGAAGGTTTTATCATCAAACAAGACTAGTAGCTTCATCGAGGAAACATTTAGTAATAAACCAAACAAATTTAATATCTTGTATAGACCAATGCTTAATCTTTTAAAACGAAATTTGAAGTATCTATAATATGAGTTTATGCTAGATTTTCTGGCCTAGTTCAGACATGGTATGGTATGTTGCAACTGGCCAAAAGATATTATTCAAGAGTTATATGATAAATTAAAAAATTACAATAATTAATATTTCATTTTATCGTTAGACTCATCTATTTTAGAATAATATTTTATAGATTATCTGGATGTTAAACATACTTAAAATTAACCACCAACTATATATATTATCAAAACATGATAAAAAATACTTATTTCAATCCATAGATAAAAAGTTAAAGGGTGGTTCAAAAATGGCCATCTACTTAACCCCTACATAATTTTTGTTCTAACTATTACTATTATAATTTTAGAATAACCCTAGCCAGATCAAAAACGACACCTACTATGGTTGATTTTTTTTGAAATAAATATTAATACTAGTGAAAATCCTCTAAGATGCCTTTTTAAAATCTAAAAATACTCGAAATTAATATTGATGGTTTTTTTTATATATGCTGCATTATGTGCTAGTGTTAAACGATTATTTAGTCTTAGTTTATACTTTCTGATCACTACTCTAGACTTAGGTGTGACAGTATGTATGGAAATATTGTTATTATTGAGATGCAATAAAAAATAAATAATTATATATACATTTGAAATTTTAATCAAAAATTTTATGTAGAGATATAGAGATACGTTAATAATATTTTTGAAAAAAATTCTAAAGTAGCTTTAGCTAATAGCGCGCTACTTTTTGAGACTGATAGCTCGTTACTTTTGAAAGTAGGTTTTAACAACACTGATAATTAAATTTTATTAATTGGGATTTTTTTTCAAAATGACATGTAGTATTATTAGTGTATATTTTATTTTTACTTAATTTATATATTTTTTATAGCTTTTTTTATATAGTTCGTTTTATTTTTAAACAATCTATTGTTTGGTCTTCTATAAAGCTTCCTCTTAACAACCTAAAAAGAAAGTTTAGACTATTCAAACTTTCGTAAGAATAGGCGTCATAGTTTTATTTGCAAACAAAAAAATATATTTAAATTACAAAATAATATATGCACACTTGAAACTAACCGAACTAGAGTGTTCTAGTTCCAAAATCTGTTTACCTGGATTAACCAGAAATAAGTTTCAAAAATAAAACGAATCAGAACACGGCATTAGCCATTTACTAATAGTTGTATATTTAATATAAAAAAATTTTAAATGGCGTTTTTTCGTCCGATTCACGCTGCCCTTGATTATGGCCGTTAAGAAGCGATGCACAGTCGGCCGCTGATCACTAATTTATAATTAATATACAAAATTTGCAAAAAATTAATAAAAATAAGGGATGTGGAAGGGAATAATATTTCTTATCAATTAGGAAATATCGGTGAAAAAGTATCTTTTTATCAATTTATGACTTTATGTCAGTTTAAAAGATTTTTTAAAATATTTATGAGAGCTAATATTAAGTGTGGGATATAGAAACTTTCCAATACCTTGAATATTGCCTCATCTGATCGAAACTAAGTTGGCGAACATGTTGCCAAAAAAAATGTGAATTCATGTTGATGGATATATAAATTTTCATAGCCATTTTTTCTCTAAATTTATTTATTTTTAAAAAAAAATGAATTAGGTCCAAAAAGAGCGCCGAAATTTTTGAAGAAATACGTCAAAACCTTCAGAACATAGTTAACGAAACGAGACTATTGCAAGAGAAATGTCAGTTGAATCAAATAATCAGTTATAATACTCGCAAACTCGCTCTCCCTCCCGAACCCAAGAATCGGAATATCAAAAATTTAAAGTTACCCCTCTTCAACAATGCGTCGCGTGATAATTCCTCTAAAGAGCCTAAAAATATAATGGGTCTTTCAAAAATATCGGACGATCCCGTTTCTGATCCTTCGAAGGATTACTATTATAGTAACGTCGAAACCGGCGAAATTCAACCTTCCACTCCTATTCACGTGCTTAACCATGTCGATAAGGTTTTTAAATTTTATTTTCACTAACTTCTTTCTCTTTCTGTAAATATTTAACATTTTCATAATCGACCATGTACATGAATAGTCAACTATCCTAAGTTTTTCTTTTTACGAAGGAGCGATGCTATCTTAATACATTATCGCTAATGGACATAGGTAATTAATATGACTGTTAAAAGAACCGAACCATTTTTTAAAAAAAAACAGTTTTTAAGTGTAGCGGGAAAACGGAACAAGATACATGCATGCATAAAAATTAATCGATATTTTGACATTGTTTTATACTCTTGATCGCAGTGATAATATGTCAAAAGAAACTAATCGGAAATTATAAAAAAATAATTAAACCGCTAAAAAATATAGTGTAAAGATTTAAAAATGATCCTGGTTGGTATAAACTTTATTAATTTGTTTGGGGTTTCTTCTTTTTTATTTTTAAAAGTTATTTAAAGGCTAAGGTGAGAAAAATAAACATGTCTATCATTGGTGACCTTTATTCTTTTTGGGATGGAAGTATTTTATCGTCAATTTTTGAGCACTAATTACATGCCTATTTGATTTTATCAAGCCAAGAGTTTTTTTGGAAAAATTCTTTTTCCAGGAAACAAATGTAAATAAAAAATTATTGGCTGTCTCGATAAGTAGATAGGGTATTTTATTCTCCCCTCAAACCTCCATTCCTATCAATTGTTAGACGAAAAATTTTAAATGACTTATTTTTAAAAATTTTTGCTTTTACTTGTCCTTTTTAAATGTTTTATTTATTTTAAAAAAGTCATTTATATCACCCGCTCGAACACTTAAACGTATTTGGACACATTATAGTCATAGATATCATCACCATAGACTAAAGTCAAAGTCCGATTTGAATAGCCACACTGTATCTTCTCGAAGTGATAGAAAAAGACAATTTTGTCAGCATAATCGTTCAAAAAATCGACGAATGTGTATTACCTTTAGGCATACTGATATTAACTCTGGCGGCAGTAATTCATTATCTTCTGAATCAACCCTTACTTACAACGCAGTAAGAAATTCGCAATCACATATCGTGGATGAATATGATAAGGTAAACTATGACCCCAAAGAAATTTATTCCATTTACGATGTTAAAGCTAACGATTCTAACCATCTTAACAAGGGGGAGCACGTGTTTGAAAATGTTGATTTGCCCATTTCTATTCCGTCCAAAATAAAAACTGATGCCAATAAATATCAAACATCTAACCTTATCAACCACACTAACTCAATGGGCAACAGTGAAAATTGGAGACGTAAACCTATAAGTCTTAATCTGGCCTCTAATTTTGAACTACACCATATTGAAAATAAACTAGGATCATTAGATATCAACAATAAACATAAGGAATCCTCAGCCAAATCTAATGCCAATGTTAGTAAGGTTAAGAGCCAGCCTCACGATTATTATCAACTATTTCATAGTCAAATTAAAGATACGGGCCAATCCCTTTACATCTCTAAATCACTATCGGATAATGTTTACATCAACGTTGGAGATGTTCATAATGAAAATGACGAAATCTATAATGATTGTCCTGAATTATATCCAAAATCATCAGGCCTACTATCCACTCTTAATTACATTGAAGTCGATAGTAGCATTCCAATTCAAGAGCAATACATGCAGAGCTCATCCAATCACGATTTGAATAACCCCTGCGATATAAAAAATGACAATAAAACTCTGCCATTTAACATGTCAGACAAATCATTTACGACAACCGACTTTGAAAGTTTTACCCCCTCGCCTAAGATATACGCAGATTCCCCAGGATCTGAGAGTAATGCTAAAAATTTCACTATTGGCACGAAGAAAGGTTCAACGTTCCATTTCTCTCCCGCTTCCAATCGCTGTGATAGTTTGTCTTCCACTTCATTTTCTTTCGACAGCAAAACGAGATCAACCATAGAAAAACAGCAGAGCTTACAGAAAATAAGATCCAGCTTTAAATTTGCTCATATTTTAAATAGGCTAGGTCTTGGTAATGAAGCCAAAATTTCAGATTTAGGTGATACAAAATCGATAGAAAATCAAATCGACAAGGATGAACAAGAGAGAGCTACAAAACCCTTGGAAGATTATTCAGAATTGTATGGCAACCCTGATCCCAATTATGCTAGATTGAATCTCAAATCAATGTGGGTTATGAGCCATTTGAAGGAAGACTAAAATTTAAAAATATACACATAATAATAGCAATAAAAATTTTTCATAAATGAAATTATAAATTATGACTTGTTTTTTTTTTAAATTATTTCTACAAAATAATATATCATTAAAACAAATATGCAAAATCAACTTTTATCGCTCAATAATTGTTATTTAATTGAATCATATCAAATATTATGTACAAAAATAAAATAATTTTTAATAATTTATTATTGGTGTTGGTCTTTGGGAAAAAATTAATTTTTTTTTAATGATTGCTTTGATATGAAATTCTTGTGATTGTTCAATATTTTGCTTTATTAAGACTCCCAATGGTTTCTCAAGTGTTTTAGTCTGACCAATCAAAACGTGAGTTCCTATTACGAGCAATGGTTCACCCTTAAAAAGAAAATCATATATTTATCATGTATAAAGCAGAGATCTGCAAAGCTTGGGCTGGCCAAATTTTTAAAAAATTTATAAGCAGGCCAGGTTGGATAATTTATACAAAAAAAAATCAAATTTTAATAGACCAGCCTGAGCATATTTTTTAAATTTCAAGCTAATGTTTTGATTATAATTTTTAATAAATTATGCTTATTTCTTTTCCAGGGTTGTGCTTTATAACAAATATATAAAGTCAAAAAACATGTGCAAAAATTCTTGACAGATCAAATTGGGTCAGGCTTTGCAGACCTCTTTTATAAAAAAAAATTATAAGAGTATGAAAATATTTTCTATTTATTTAATTAGTATTTTTTGGTAGAAAGAATTATTTTTGTTCTTGAATAGTTAATTTCAAAGGGATAAATATTCATTAGGTTTCTGTACTTAATCTAATTTTAGTTAGACATTTTTTTTTGAATTTTGGAGCAGTCAGAACTAGTCCAAATAAACTAACTAAAAGAACATGTTGATAAATTTATTAATGTTAAAATATTATTAAGGAATATATGAAACAATGAATGCATACATAGAAGCAAGGGAATCTTGTTTCCCTTTTTATTTTATTTTTTAAAATATATCAAATATAATTAATAGTGAGCACAAATTGAGTATTTCAAATGCTGCTTTGCAAATACAAATAATGTAATTTCAAATGGTGGCATCATGCAAATTAGTAAAATTTCTATTGGGCATTATCAACAATTTAATACTTTTTTATTCTTCATTTTGTAGTATTATATAAAATGTTTAAAAATAAATATCTTATAATGGAATATTTCAAAATTAAAAGTCAGACAGTAATATAAAAGACAAATCCTTTTTAGAACTTACTTAAAATTTTGAATAAACAATATTAATAAAAAGGCAATCTCAAATTAAACAAGAAAGGTGTAACATTTTTTATTAAAAAATAATGACAAAACAAACACAAATGCTCAATTTGTACACACTATAATATGATTTATAGATTGTGTCAAACAAAATACTGTGTTAAAAAACTTTCAGGATTTTGAAAGCAAAAATATAAAACGATAAAATCATTTTAAATGTGTTGTGTAATTTAATTTAAAAAATAAGCAATGAGGAAGCAAAGAAAAAAAAAAATTTAAGTTCTTACTTTTAAAAAAATGTGTAATTGCATTTTTAAAATATCTTCAACTTAATAAATTTTGATATGGAGAAAAAGGAAGTACAAATTTTTTTAAAAAAACAGTTAAATTTGAAATATACTTTTATAATTTAGTACTTAAATATTTACTAAAAAACAAATTCTTATTTATAAATCATAATATTCATTAAATAAAATTATTAAATAGCTGATGTTTTAATAAATACTTAAAATCTTATTTTATAAAGATATTGATTGATACAATAGTGTAACTTAATTACAGTTTTCTTAAAATATAAATTTCCAATCCATTTGTTTATTATATCACTCTTATCAGCAAAATTTAATTCTCCTTGCAATTCTATTATAAACCATTCATCCCATCCTGAAATATCTCTATATATTTTTATAAATAATTTTTCATTAAATTTACTTTTTCATAATAATTTGGACCATTTGCTTAAACTTAGCGCTAAATTTTATACTAAATTTTATCAAGATTTAACGGACGACATCTGACAGGTGACAGTAAAAATTAAATATTTTGTTAGAATATTAAATAAAGTATTTATTTTTTCCAAATAAAATGATATTTAGAAAAGCGGTAGAAAAAGTAGTGTGCCACTCAACGTCTACATGACAGGATTTTCACTGGATGTAAACCTTCTTCAAAAACCTATGCCTACCCCCCTAAAATATTTGCTCCACATTCGACAGCCATGTTTCCTTATTTATAATTTGCCCTTTTTAATTATAATGATACACTTTCAGAAAATTTTAAAATATTTTATCTTTACTACCAACTATCGACATTTTGTGAATATAAAGGAGTTATTTTTTAGATAATAAATTCAATTAAAACCCCAATTATTTACAATGAATTCATTATTATAGCATTATGAGCTTTCTGAAAATGTCAAAACCTTTTAAATTATATTTGAAAGGATAGCAAGTTTTATTTGAAAAATAATATATATGATTGTTTGTAATATATAGTTTTGGTTTATGAATTGTATTATAATAGGTCTATAATAAAACTAAGAATTTTTACAGCAATCAATTTTGTCCTATTTGATCTCAAAATTTAATAGATAATCTCCCAAAAAATTTATCCTATCCCAATGCAGTCTACCCCCTTCAAAAAAAATAGGGTGCAAACTATTCCTACCCCTCCCCCCGTTCATGTGGACGCTGGTGCCACTATTTAGGGGCTCAAATAAAGAAAATAAACAGGCCTACTCATGACTAGTTAACATAACACCAATTTCTTAAAGAAAAGATAATCTTTTAGACCAACTCTAGCATGAATCATCTAAAAAATTCATACTCTAAGATTTATTCTATGCTTTATTAGGCCATATTCTGTGCCGCGTAGTTTGGTAAAACAGATGCGTATGGCTACTTTTCACACTCCTCAATCCTAAGATCTGTGTTTAATTATACCGAATCTGAGGATTTTCAAAAATATATTTTAATTATTTCCTAAAGACTAACTGACCCATCTTCCCCCCTACAACTTTCTTAAGCTAATATACAGTAGCGTCATTAAGGTAGGATGCTCAGGGGCTCGAGCCCCATAAAAAATTTGAAGTCCCATTAAAGATTTTGATACCAAATATAATTTAGAAAATATTAGCTAAAAAAGGTAATTTTGAAGAGGTAATTTTGGATTATGTTATCTAAAAAATAAAGGTAATTTTGGATAATGTTTTCTAAAACATTATAATTTGGGATAATGTTGGCTAAAAAAAGGGAATTTTGGATATTGTTAGACATGTGCGCCGCCGGTCAAATGCGCCGCCGCCGATGATTTTGACCACGCCGACGCCGCGCGCCAAAAAATTGTTGGCGCTCAACACGCCGCCGCCGATGTAAAAATTCGGCGGCGTGGCGGCGTGATACATATTTTTTATTATTTATTTTATATATTATTTATGAATATAAGAAAAATATTAAATATTTTTTGAATTATTAAAAAATGCGATTTTATTTTTTAAAATTAATAAATATTATTTGCTATAAATTTGATTTGTAACAATCCTTATTCGCTCACTTTGGGCAGGTTTGTGACCAACGTGCTAGATAAAATAAGATTAGGACATTAAATTTGAAAAGGTAAATCTATATTTTATTCTTTTATTTTGATTCAAATAATTTACAACTTGTTATATAAAATTTATTTTTTATCATAATAGAAATTTTATTTAATTATTTTTATTTTGTTGCCATTATAACATATATAAAAATACCAGGACTAAAACAATTGTAATGGATGCAGCATTGCAATACCCTGTAACAAAATATAGTATATACTTGCAAGCAAAACCTTCTTTTGTATGGAAACATTTTGGATCCTTAATATTAAAAACTGACACAAATAATAAGAGAACCAGTGTTGCTACAGATAAAGTCTTTTGTAATATATGCTTGCAAATAGCACTTGATAAAGATGGTGAGGATGAAAATAATTCTTCATTTTCAGAGTAAATTTTTTGATTATCTTATAAATATTAGTAAATTTTTTAATTAGTTATCCAATCAAATCTTTTTCAAAAAATATCAGCACATCAAATATAATAAAACATTTACTTGACAAACATGATTTATCATGTAAAGAAGAAATATCTAAACAAAATTTAAAGTTATTTTTCAAACCCATTGTAAAAGATACAACTGACCCTATAAAAGATAAAAAATGGATTCTGGTAAGGAATTATGTTCTCATGTGTTGCAAGGATTTAATGCCATTCTCTTCTATAAATAATACTGGAATGCAAGATTTTCTAAAGGTTATTTGTAAAATCATTATAATTTTTTATAGTGCAATCTTAATTTTTATTTGTTAAGATATTTAATTATTTTATAACATCCCACATTTAGAATTTTTTATGGCATAATATTTTATTATTAACTTTTTATTATGTAGAAATATGGCATTATTTCAGATGCCAAAGAATTACCTGACAGAACTACACTTAGCCGGAGTGGATTAGATTATGTTTATTTATCAATGAAAGCATACATATGCCAACAAATTAATGTAGGTACTAAATTTTGTGCTATAACTTTTGATATGTGGGCAGACAAATATAGACGGCGAAATTATATCACCTTTATTTTTCACGAAATAGATAATAATTTTAATATTGTATTTTATACATTGGCGACACATCATGTCGCCCAAAAACATACCGCTGAAACTATTCATTCCGAAATAGAAAATGAATTTGATTTAGGGTCCAAGAAAATTCAAATGGTTACGGATGCAGGACCCAATGTAAAGAAAAGTGTTCGTCTAGGAGAATATGACCATCATTTATGTTTGGGGCATGGATTAAATAATCTAGTGACAGTCGATGGAATAAAAAAAGTTAATAAAATTGAAAATCTCATTAAAAAAGTTAGAGAAGTTATAGTTGCCTTAAGATTCAAAACAGCGGATTTTGAAAATATAAACGATATAGAAAATAGAAAATGTTTTGAATCGATATCATATACATCGGATATTTTAGATTTGGATGATAATGATCCTTTTTATGATGATCGTTTGGGGTATGATGATGATAGTGAAAATCAAAAATCATATTAGAAAAAACATAAAACCTTAAAATTAAATGTGCCTACACGTTGGCATAGTATTTTAATAATGCTGGAAAGTGTGACTGGCAAT